GAAAAGTGCATTTTATTCAAGCTTACATCGCGAACGATCTCCCGCTGAAGATATGAAGATTGCCTTTTCGTCTCTCTCGAATCGCAAACGATCTCCCGCTGATGATCTTATGCGAACGGAGTCCGCTACAAATATGAAAATTATCTTCTCGTCTCGTTTGGATCGCGAACGATCTGTTGACGATATTACGCGAACGATTCTCCGCTGAAGATATGAAAATTGCCATCTCGTCCCATTCGCATTGCGAATGATCTCCATGTACGAGCCAGGTAATCGTTAAATTGTCCTAAATTGAACATGGGCATGAATAGAAGTGACGGGTACATTTCATTCGAGATAATATCTTGATTTTTTCATTGTGTCTTCCTCATTTAGGACAGCCGCCGATAACAATAACGGCGTTACAAATGACAAAGACGCGGCCTGTGACTTCTATTTGCCGGCTTGATAACGCACCTTAAACCAGGTAATAGTAATGCAACTAAAGACAAAAGGCCGACGTTCCCGCAATTGAGAACGGGAATTCACATCTAAACCATCTATATTGTGAGTAACTGCTCGCAGGGGCGCACTATTGTTCCTATCTCCCATTGAGAGTGTTATCGGCAATGATATCCTGATCGTATCAGTCTTGAATCAACTGACGCATTACCTTCACGTTTGAGCAGGACAACGCCGCCATATTTGGTGACGAACTTTTCAAAAATTATCGAGTACCTCATTTTCAAGGTCGACGAAGTTTTCAAAGGGAAAAAAATTACGTCGGCGGAAAATCGTCTGTCGACGAAATTTTCAAGAACGACGAAATTTTCAAGACTTTACCGTAATGTTCTCAAAAATAAAATGTCAGTTCACAATTTTTTTACTGAAAAAACACATTTCAAATTCACCTGAATGATTTATCAAAATGACACATCACACTAAGGACATAAAAAGCAGCAAGATGGAAGGGTTAGATCTATGGCAGAAATACTGAAAGTCTGACACGTATTTTTAGGTTCGTATATGAAATGCCTTCTTCTCAATCTCAAGCAGATAGAATTCCTTTTATTCACTACATAAATGACTGTGATACAGTATGATAAACCATACTCTTATGAATCATCCAGATTGTCATTATTTTATTACCTGGTGGTCAATTAGTTAAAGGAATTTGGCTAAATCTCATATGAAATTGATAAAAATAAAAGTGATCTTTACTTTCCAAGCATCAAGCACTTAACCATTGTGCCTGTTACTGATGTCTTTAATGAAATTCGCGCCACTGGAGATGGAGGGGATATAAATACCTTTAACCAAATCTTCCAAACGCACACGCTCATGGGCAGCATGTTGGTCAATCACCACCAAGAGATTAGGTACTGTAATTAGTAATTTCCAGATAAGTCAGAATACCTTAATATACATTTCTTATCTCATATCCCAATAAGCAATATATATGATAAAACAAAATGTTATTACATTTAGGCCTAAACAGCACTTGACACAATTATCCCAATTAAATAAAAGATACATTATGATGACAGCAAAACTCTCTGCATATCTACCTGAACATTCTTGATTCAAGGATACCATACAGGCAATAAATTTATTATCAATCTGCTGAACCACCTAAAATCACAAAGAAAACATTCTGATCAAGTTAAAGGCAGATTCAATCATACCTTCATATTTCTAAAGTCAAGTTGAAAGTTACGGATTATTAGAATCTAGGTAATGAATGCTGATGGCAAAAATAACCCATGAAGTCTATGCAAATTTCCTCTAATGTGTTCACAATAAAATAAATAAATGAAAAATTACCATTAATGATTCTTCTATGATGCTCCCTGCTTTTCCAAAAATTAAAGTCAACTTGTCAAGGTTACAAATCACAAAAGATAATAATACTTATTCAAGAGACAAACCTCTATCCTGTTAAACATGTCCTTGGTAAATTTGAATGGGTAAATGCCAGCACTCTGGGTGCCAAACACATTCAGATTTGGAATAGACTGCAAAGAACATGACCAAACATTTTTTTCATGTTTCAATTTCTCAACTTGTAACTACATAAATTGTGACAGATATATAAAGACATTATGTGGACAGATGATGCCTTCTAGTATAAAAATTGTAATTAAAAAATAAACCAATGAAAAATAAAAATACATATGCACATACATACATATATATGTTTAAAAAAGATTATATTGCAGAGATAATTTCTAAATCAATTTTCAAGTCATCAAGTGCAACATACCTGATCAGAAGATTTGAGGACTGGATTCTCCCATTTATCCAACAGTGACTGCACCTCCCCACTGAGACTGTCACAATCTGAAAATAAGAGTTTTACACTGTAAATATTCTAGTTTGAAAATAAAAACCATTTGCAAAAATGTCATTTTTTGAAATCTTAACAATGGTACAAGACAAACTGCAATCAGTTCTTGGTACAACCATACAACGAATATGCATGATCCACTTATATAAACTTAATAATACAAAGGATAAAAAAATAAATTGTGTAATTTCTTCCCTCAGTTATACAGACATTAAGACTCGTCAAAACTCACTTCTTTTACAGTCAGCATCCCTCCATTTTACAGTGCTCTCCTCTTCCTGCAGGTCCTGGTGCTGGAGCCACAGAGCTGACAAACTCTCCTGTGAGACTGGAGACAGTGAAGGAGCTGTGGTGGTCTTCTCTCTTCTTTGGACTGCAGGCAAGAAAGCATCTGCATTGTCTGTGAGAAGTTTGTGGTGTTTTACAAGGGTAAAGGCTGAAAGGAGAACTTGGCTGTTGTAATGTAAGAGAAAATGGGCTGAATTAGTCACACTGAAACTCATAATAGAAAATCTAACGACTCTAGTCTAATATCTAAGATATGTGCTATAGACATAAGTTTTAAAATAAAATCAAATGATTAAATTGATTTTGTTTTATGTTAATATACAACACTCCTCATTTGCAAATATAGAAATACACAAACAGACAAATAAAAGCTGTGACAAATCATGTCTTCATGTAATCAACTGTCACTTCTGTACCATGATGCAATGATCTTGCATTCAATAAAGCTACACTGAAGACACCACCTACCAGTTTTATCACCATTTTGTTCTTGTGGCAAATCTGTCACTGGTTTGTCAAAGGTGGTATTTCCATTTACACGGTTGACATAGATTGTTCTTCCTAAAACAAAGTTAATTACTTTCAAAATACATGTAGATAAAAAATTTGCAAAACATTTTGCATAACAAAAACTTTAAATTCTAGGTATGTAGGTTTAAAAAAGTACAAATTAATTGTCTCATTTTTTTGTAACAAATGTTACAGATATATGAAGTTCCATAGTTTTATCAATTAAATGTTACTTTTTGTGGGTGTAATGTACATTTCTTGTTGTTATGTACCTGTTTTGGGATCAATCCTACAAATCCACTGCTGACTAAGAAGACCAAACCCACAATGCACTGTATTGGTCTCTGGCACAGAACTGGCTTTTAGTGTCTCTGCTTTGCCAACCTTTGAGTCTGATTCAGATCTGCCAGTAGAAGCATCATCTTTGTCACACTGGTCTCTGTCCACTAGGCCTTCTTGGTCAACATAGATATCACCTCTTTTTCTTTCATCACACTGACCAATTGTCATCTGACCATCCTGGTTAACTGTAGCTTGACCAGACTGCTGACTTGACTTCTTATCCCCTGGGCATCCATCCCCTGTAATCCAACTATCTGTAGGCTCCACCTGAGTGGTAAGTGATTCACAATCTTGATGGCTCCAATTCTCTGGATCAGAAGTGTCCATTACATCAATAAGGTCAACACTGCTCTGATAATTCATCTTCATATTTTTGTCAGCATTTCCTCTTGGGTGATCCAGCTCAGTAAGTCTAGCTATTTTAGGAGGTAATGAAAACATGTGAAGGTTTTCTGGACTGTGCCTTCTTCCTTTCCCCTCACACAACCTTTTTATTTCACATGTAATGTTCAACTTGTCTTCATCCTCTTTATTCATGTCCTGGTCGCAATGTTTTCTGTCTGTTCTTGGGATTGCAAACTGCTGAAACCTGGCAATTGTGGGTGGAGGTAAAAAATCATCCAGGCTCCTAGATAAACTTGCAGCTTTGTAGTCATGTGAAAATGAAGTAGATATAAAACCACTATCACCAACACTACCACTTGAAATATCTGACAGGTTAAAGGGTTGGGTTGAACTTACTGCCATGGCAAGATCCACATCCATTCCCTTTTCCAAATAATCAGTCACTGCCTGTCCTGTCAGTGAGAACCCCTGTGACTCACAGATCTCTGATAGACCCTCAAAGTCAGCCAAGGCAGTGGGTATAGTATTAGTATTTTCACCAGGTGATCTATGTCTGGATTTAAGTTTGGTGGATAAGTCATTGTGTGTCAAATTGTCAATGTTTTCAAAAGAATTGGGCTCTCCACATATGCCAGTGCTAGGCTGTTTTGTGGCAATGCTTAGCAATGTACTGTTGTCATCATTGTTGTCCTTCTTTTTTGGGGTGTAACACAGATTACAGTTTTTCAATGTGTCTGTTTTTGACGTGGAGAGAGGATACAAAGATTCATCTTTGCAATAGGACTTAAAGGGAAGATCACCAGATGGCAGTGTCACATGCGGTGGATCATTTTGTTTTTTTATACCACCATGATCATTCCCATATGGTAAAATATCATTCTGGTTTCCTAGTGAATGCAGTAAGTCATCTGAGGACATAATTTTCACTGCTTGTTGCACAGAAGACTCCAGACAGAGCGGGCCAAACCTGTCTCTGTAGAAACTTTGACAGTATGAGGCTAAATCACAGGCAGGATAAGAGTTTGTACATGGAGGCACAGGAGTGAGATCATTTTCTGGTGTGTAATTTTTCTTGGAAGGAAAGGCATAGTTTTGAAATGTGTCCACAGATGGCTCTTTAAACAAGCTGACATTTTTGAGACTACTTCTGTTAACTGTAGCATCTGCAGTCATTAAGTTCAGGCTATTGACCAAGGAAACACCTCCTTGTTTGCCACTTTCATCGATAATTGAAGAATGATGAAGGTAAGAATCATTACGATTTCTGATGTCAGACTGACAACCATCATAATGTTCTTGCATATCAATTCTCTTATTTTCATCACATTCTCGAGGAATAACTGAGATTGAAGGAATTCCAAAGGAGTCTTTTTCTGTTGCAGTGGTCAGTGGTGTGGAATGTCTCACCGTATGACAAGTTTCATTTTCTTTTTTCCTAGCACTGTAATCATGGGAAGAGCTCCAATGATGTAAATTTGAAGCACACCCAAGTTTTGGGGTACAAGGAGGAGGAATACTACCATCTTTCCTAATCAATTCTTGTGGAGTTGAATACATATCTTCTGCTTTAGTCTTCTGAACTCCTTCAGTCCTCTTGAAACTTGACAGTTTTTCTCTGATTTTCTTCAGTGGTTTCAGTTCAACAAGCTTGTCTGGTCTGCTGTACTGGTTTGAATTTTTCATTTTGTTGAGAGTGCGCAAGTCTGTCAGTGTCATTATCTTTTTAGGCAAATCATGATTTGTATTCTTTGCACAGCTTTCCTCAGTATTATCAATACTCTTTCTCTTCTGAAAGTGATCTGAGCTGTTAAAACTATTGGCATTTTGATTGCTTGCAGAAGCAGTAACATCCTTCTCCTGGGAAAATGGTTCAGTCCCAGGAACACAACTTCTGTAGAATATGCTAGATTTTGTGGAATTCTTATCTCTAGCTGATATCTTTTGACGTAGTTTCTTCAACGGTGTCAATCCAGATGGTTGTTCACATCCAATTGTCAAATTCTTTATGTCTCCATGCTTTTTGTCTTTATCACAGAAAGGCTGCCCTGAGATGCATACACATGGATCTCTCCTGCACTTATCACACTCTGATTTTCTTTCTGAGATAGGTTCTCTACTACATGTTGAGTTTGGACCAGAACATTCAGCAGGTTTCACTACTGGGGTTAAACATTTGAGTTTAGAATGTGTTACCCTTGGTGTACCTTGTCCAGGTGTGATTTCTTCAGAAGACACAGAGAGACCAGAACTTGAATCAATATCATTTTGCCCTTGGCTTTCTGTCCCTATATCATCTTTCATTTTTCCTTCACCGTGATTGTTACTCATCGAATATGGGGTAAGAAACTGATTCAATGAATCTTCTTGCATTTGGGACAAACAGCACTCTGTGTCAGATGAATGTTTCTGTGGTTTTTTTCTAGGTTTTCTTATTGTTGGTAATTCTTCTGAATCTTCAGATGTTTTGCCTTCACTGCCAGACTCTGGTGAAAGGCCACAAAATGTAGGATTTTCAAGACCGTGCTGAGAGGAGGTTCCAGACTTTTCTGGTGTAATTTGAAGAGGACTAGTCTTTTCCATGCTGTGAACATTTCTGCCCTGACTTGATCCACATGAATGCAAGCTTTCTGCCTCATTTATTTCTTTAGGTGATCCTTCTACTTTTTCATTAAGAGACACTGTGAGTGGGAGTTTTCTTTTCACTGTTTTAGACACCAAATTATTGGTTGTGTTGAAAGCACATATACTGCTGCCACATTTTTTTGCTCCAGCTCCTCCTGAAGTAGCATCTAGATCAAGACCCTTGGCATTGGCTTCTTCTCCACCCTGCTTCTCTGATTTTTCTCTATCTTCGGCACTGTCTGGTGGAACTAGGACAATTTCGCCATCAGCAGACAAACCATCCAAGTTCAATTTCCCTGACTCATTCTCTGATTTTGGTTTTTCCAACCCCATAAGTAGATTTTCCCTTTCCAAAAATCCCTGCACTCCCTGTTGAATACATGCTAAGATTCCATCCCAGTTCTTGAATTCTACTAATGTTTTAGCAGGGTCAAGGGTGATATCATACTCTGTGAGGGAGCAAGTAATATTTAACACAAAAATCCCATACCTATCCACCTGTCTTGATGGGCTTGATGTTGCGACAGTATAGTCAGGGGTCCCCTTTTGTCTTTCATCTATTCTGGTTCTCTTCCTTACAATCATGGATTTAGAAAGTAGATGATTCACAAACTTATGTAGTTTAGTTTTAAGCAACAGCCGCTCATTGATGTAAATGAATTGCAAATTGCGATTTGAATGTCCTTCTTTGCTGATATAGCCTTGTAACTGAAACTGACCGTTTCTGCTCTCTACCTTCTTCAGGTGTCTCGCCTTTGAGGATCCAAACAGATGAGTAAATGCTCCAATGACTGTGCTACTCTTATGGGTCTGCAGAAGTTTGGTCCCTAAAAAAGTAGTAAACACCACTTTAGGCAACAATTCAATACATTGCACAGTATGATATAAAGTCTTTTGAACATCTGAGAAAAATTTTAAAGATAAGTAAACTTGACAACAAAGTTGGCAAATATACAGACATGTAACAAAAAATAAAAACCATTTCCATAAAAAAGGTGTTTAACCTACCTGATGTGTCATCTCTTAGTGAAAGAGAGGCATTTGGGTGTATCAGGGCAATGCATTCAATTCTGTTGCGGATTTTTTCCATCTCTAGTGATACATTCATACCTTTTCTTCTGACTGGTAAATTGTAGAACATGTCAAGAGCTAAAAAATGCCCAAAATGCATAGCCCATAAAAAAGATTGAATGAACAAGATGAGTTAGGCATCATCCCATATTTATCATGATTTTCACAAGACTACAACAAGAATTTTTTTCCAGACCCCTATCCCCCTTCAGAGAAAGCAAGGTAAAAAGCTAAAAATGATGAGCTTCTCTAAAGCATACAGGGGACATTACCCCCCCCCCCCTCCCAGCATACAGTCTGTAGACTTGTGAAAATGATGATAACAATGAATGACCCCTTAGCACTGTGACTTGAATTACAATGAAAATACATTTTGCATTCTTTGAGCATAAGACACGTAAAAATAAATTTTAAAACTAAGGAAAGTGAATCAATCAAACACACCTAAAATAAACTGAGTACACAAGCTAAAAATAAAAAAGTTTGATCAGTCTGAAGACACAAGTGGATATTACTTTCACTCGATCATACTGCTAAGCAAACTTGAATGGGGTTTATTTCCGATTTCCAAGTAAAATTTAATCTTTAAAAGTAAAATTTAATCTTTATATGCATTTTATATTGTCATATTTTATACTTCATTTTAATGAGTTGAAAAATACCTGTGACTGTTGTTCCTACACTTGGACGTCGTTGCTTTGATTTTCCACTCTCCAGTAGGTTACCATTACGAAAGATCTTGTAATACATATTACCAGTCTGTTTAGTCTTTGACTGGATTTCCAAGATTGCAGCTATATCTCGAATACTTGCCAAAGCCTCACCACGATATCCATAATACCTGAGGTTGTCTAGATCAGTTATCTCATGGCATTTGCTGGTGGAGTACCTGAAAAGAGAACAATACAATTTTAACTTGTTTTTGGCCTTTTAAAGTCCTTTGCAATAGTAGCATCTTTGAACACACATATTATTAATGAAAAATTAAAGTTTAATACCACAAGACTAAAGCTCATATGAAATAAAACACAGAAATGAAACATACAAAAATTCAAAAAGAGATTGCTAGAGAATGAAAAGTAGCTCTATGTAATATAAGACTCATTCCAGTATCTTTATCTCTGAAACATCATTTTCCTTCACAGAACTTTTCTAACTGTTCATATTTATTAAAAAAACTTAAATTGAACTTTGAAATGTACATGTATCTTATTCTGAATTGGTAATAAAATAGGTGGCGTAAAGTTTCTCAGAATGGATAGAAAAGAGGAATAATCTATATTATGAAATTAACTATAAGCTAATCACCTCTCTCCAACAAGGTGCATCTCATTTGGATCAATTCCATTCCCGTTATCTACCACTTGAATCTTATTATACATCAAGTCAACTCTTACTGCAACACAGGTTGAACCTGCGTCCAGTGAGTTAAGTACCAGCTCCTCCACACACTGAGCATATGTAGCCACTGCAACACCAGACCGCAGCTTAGACACAATGTCACTGTCAAGGGGACGTATCATTATGTCAACTCTAAAAAAAAAAAAGGAAAAATATACAGAAAAAAATCAGTATTTAAGTCAATAACATGGATGAAGAATTACACGAGGTTAGCTTTTGATGAAAAAAAAAAAATGGGATTTTATAAAGGCGCGCAGAGATTGCTGGCCTACAAGTTACATTTTTTCTTCTTTTTAACAACATTTGAATTTCATTTTTATAAACCAGGTAGTTGTATGCGGTGTGGCTGAACCTTGATAAAAGAGTAGTTTCAAAACTTTCATTCTGACGGCCAAAACTCAACATTTATTTCAGCTAAACAAAATCATAATCTTAAATTTCAAATCAATTTATGGTTTTCAGCTTAGACTTTTGTATGCTTACCTGCTGTTTCATTTTTATTCTCATCCTTATTCATTTTTTGAGAATGCACATATGTACAACGTACAATGAACCCGACTTTTTCAGGCTGCACGGAGACGCTAGCATTCTCTATGCTATTTTAAAAGGATTCCACATCACTAAAGTAATGCCAATTCATTCTGTAAATAGAGACTGATATAACCATGGAAGTGGTTCATGGTATCTTGGTCTTTTCTCACCAATAAGCACTCGCGTAAACTTTCTTCGGTGCAAATCTGCACTACGATATTTGACCTTGACCGCCATGCCGGCCAATGTTTTCTTCTCGCGTGACCGAAGCGAGAAACAACGTGATGAAAATTTATTTATCCGTATCTAAGCAACCAATGCCAAGAAATATATCCGCGTCTATATTTGATCAATACATGGCCTTTGATTCACAGTAAATTTACAAAAGATAAACATAAACCTTCTATGAACTAATATTTCACCAATAACTACCTATTATAAAGTCAAAAAGCTCCGAATTCCTGAACTATTTCTTGATTTGTCAACTTCCGGTTTAAATCTGACCTAGGCTGAGACAGACAAACAAGCACTTGCTGTTCTGATGACCCCTAAAGTTTACGACATTCCTCAACACAGCTGCTGCAACACTGTCACATTATTTGAATGTGTCCACGCTTGGCTGAAAGGTAAGTTGTCTTTTATTTGGAAAGATTTGATTGGTATATTTGTCCATGCGCTTTTATGTCATTAATACTGATCATTTTATAAAATACAATGTAGTTCAAAACTTTTGCTACTTGTTTTGAGATAGGCATTCCCTTACATTCCAAGTTTGACAGGTGGAAAAGACGTCTTAACTTTTTAGTTACCTGAATACGAAGTAATTTTTCTTGAATTAGATAAATAATATTAAAATAAGGATAATTTCTGGAAATACCAGTAGTCAAAGAAAGCTCAGCTAATTTAATAATTATTCAGCACATAAAAAACTTTTACCTACTTTTGGTAATGACTTAAGGGTAGAGTTTATGATATAAAATGCAGTTTTTGAAAAAGACACGGTATAAATCCTTTTTATGTAATTTGTGGGAGATTTTGGATATCCATGTGCACCAGTATTTTTAAATAAAAATATTTTTTTTAAAACAATGAAAAGTGTAAGGAAGTACATACATTATTATCATTATTTAAAAGTAAAGAAAAAAAAACAATAATAAAAGGCCATTACATTGGAAGAATTTATATGGCATACCATTTTCTATTCAAATTGATGGTAAAACAAAAATATTATTATTATTAATGTTAAAGATAATGGGGTAGTCACAAAGTAAATTAAAGTTTCATTGCGCATTGCCAAATTTATTTATGTGTAATATTTTTGCCACCAGAAGCATTATATCTTACCAGTCTGAGGCATGGCTTGACATGTTATCAGTCTATACATGGTAATTGTGTAGCTACAAAAGAAGTTTGAATGGATGTATTAAGTCATCACATTTTTGAGGTATTCTGGTATAGGGAGGCTTTGCGTCAGTAAGGTAAAGGGTATGCTGTTATTGTCTCAAAAGCGTGGTTAATGGATATACCAGTATATTGCAATAATCTGTCAGTGTCTGTTCTACTAATTAGCTATAAAATAGGTTTTTCTTGATGCTGATAACAAATGGAAATTGCATAAGAACACCTTTCATAGGAAATGCTTGCCATATGCTTATGTAATATTCATTGATTGTGAGCATTGAATTCCAATTAGTCAAGTGGGGGATTCACTTGTTTAAGCAAATACTGTATGCCAATTTGTAGCATATATCATTATATGTATGGTAAAACATTTATCTAAGGTCCCCAAATGTTACAAAAACAGTGCGTTAGTGGATCAAATATCTTAACTTCACATGGGTGTGGCCTTGCCTGTTAACGAAGCTTTTATCATTTGTTAATGGTTTTCAGCACATTAAACACGTCACCTTGTATGATGATGAAAGAGCATGCTGACTCTTGTAAATTGATTGTTATGAAAAGTTGTTATGGAACTTGTTATTTGCAATGTGTTTATTGCTATGTAAAAGATAAATGATTTACTAGCTGACAAGTTGTCTAAAACATTATTGCTCAGGTACTTCAAAATGCACTTGGATATTGATGTTGAATTGAGGTACATCAATATCATCCAGTCCAAAAGGCTTTCCGATAAGGGGAGGATGTACAACAATGTATGCCCAGTCATGATTGATTCTTCATGGTAGATGGTCTTGTCAGGTTTCTGCAATTCTGCAACCCAGTTATGTACTTTCTGATTGAAAACATGCATTTGCTGATTTTTCTAAATTAAAGGGGGTGGAGTACACACTGCATTACTGTAGAAAGCATTGCCCTTTATCGAGCATTTCACCTCACACAGCTAATTTGTCTCAAATAGAATGTTTCACAATATGCACATGACAGTTAAAAGAGTCTGATTTTAATTAGTTGTCACACACATATAGATATGTTGAATTACTGGCTAAAAACTAGCCACAATAGGTGATCAAATGAGTAGCCAAACAGATTGCTTACATGCATTTGTCCAGTTTCTGGCACCTCTACGAAATATCAATTTTGTTTCTGATTATCTATGGTCACAGAAGCTGAACTCCAATCAGGGTGTGATAGCGAATGGGTAATTGATACTGATTGGTTTCTAGAGGTGAAAATCTTGTTCCCATGGCATGCAAGTTGGCTATCATAATTCAATTTACTTATAAAATGTGTGCAGCATGCAACTTTTGTAGGATATATCAAAGAAAAGATTACAGTAACTTTGAAAACTTTGAAAACCCATAATGAACTACATTGTAATTTAAGCAATATGTGCTCAATATGTTTGATTTATGCAAAAATGTCATTGTCTATGTTATTATTTTAGTCTTTTTTACATACATAATTCTTTACTTGCAGAAAGCCTACCTTTGGTTAATGGCTTATCACGGCCCCACTGCGATCGATCATCCATCTAGTACAAGAAACATGGCGTCTGGTTTCCAAGGTCAGGGCCAGGGGCAAAAACCACTGTCTAGACTGCAGCAGCTTCAGATTGATTACCAAGCAAAATTGATGAGAGAGAAGGAACAGAAGCTTGCAAAAATGTATGAGGAAAATCAAAAACGTGCAATGGAGCGTGTTGCTCAGAACAGTGGAAGAGGGATGGTCAGAGACTTCTTCAATGAAAGAAGAAACATTGCCAGTCAACAGTCAGTTGTACCAAACATTCATCAACATTATAAAGCAAAAAAGAAATATGAATATGGTGGTCCATCAGGCTTCCAGCCGTCAAAACCCCCTGTACCCCCTGGACATCAACCCCAACAAAAAAACAGTGCAGGGAGGGATAGAGCACACCCCCTTGCTCCAATTGAGCGGACAAAAACTTATGAAAGTGGCAGCCTCAGTGATGGTGCAGTAATCAACTCACCCAAACCCCCAAAAAAGCAAAGTGCTCGGCAATCTAGTAACCTAAAAAATAAAGAAAATTCTGGAAACAATTTACATTATGGTAGTGAAGGCAATATTAACTCTCCAGAAAGCAATGCTGAAAAACAGAATATACTGTCTGGTAGTTCAAAGGCTAGGGTTGCTAAATATAAGCAACGAAAAGCACAGGTTTTTAAACATGACATTGAGTCGAGTGATGAAGAACCTGTGAGAAATCAGTCAAAGCCAAAAGCAAAACCAAAAATAACAGACTTTCAAAAGTGGCAGATGGAACAAGATGCAGCTAGGGAGAGAAGGCTGGCAGCTCACCAACAACAACATGCTCAGAATGATGTATATGATGGTACTTTTGACAGAGATGATGGTGAGGAGGGTGGTGATAGCAATGATGAGGACAGGGAAGAAGCTGCCAGAGAAGAAGAAGAGCAGGAAGAAAGACGCCAGGAACAATTAAAGAAACAACAAGAAGAAAAAGAGCTTTTGAGACTTTTAGCAAAACGGCAAGAGGAGTTGAAGCAATTACAGCAGGAGAGGCTAAGAGCAGAAGAAGAGGTAATTTTATTGATTTTTCTTCTCGTTACAGAAAAAAAACATGGATTTCTTTTTTGAACAATGTAAGACATGTCTTTTTTTGAAATTCATAGAATATAAATCCATTTGACCAAAAGTGATGCATATCTATTGTGATTAATGAAATGAGGGGTAAGTTAAGTTTCTGAAATGTTGATAGCAGAGAGTGAGAAAAAAATGTGGACTGAACATGTGAAAAGAATTTATCATTATATCTGCAAAAAGAAAATATGCATGAACTTATTTCTGCAGATATACTAGTACATATTTTGTACTGTAATTGACAAGACAAATTCAGGTTATTGCGGTAGGTGTGCATGATTGTGTTGTAAATTGAAATTTACTTGGTTCCAGTGATATTCTGACATTTATTAGAATGGCACTTTTTTATGATTACGCCTTGGAAAGGCTAATCTGATAAGACAACAAAGTGGAAGTCTGGGTTGCACTGATACTGCATTATAAAGAAGTGCTAATGAACTTTTCCATACAAGTTTAATTGCATCTATTAGTGACTCAACTCTGAGCACTTGTCATGCATGAGGTATTGCCAAACTGATAGAATTTCCAGTCACTTGAATTTTGTTTCCCTTCACAACCTCTAATTTCATGAGCCAGCATCTTATTATTGCAGATAAAAATGTAGTAACCAATAACATGATACAGTGTTAGCCTTGTTGATGTTACTACACTTTTGTCTATTGGATGCTTAATTCATAAGAAAAGTGACACTATTTGATTTATTTCAATTTCATTTGTCTTTGAAATATAATCGCGAAAGTACAGATCCTATTATCAAAGAAACATTGCATTAAATATTAATTGATACATAGTATTTTGATCCATTTCTGGATGTATGAGTCAGCAAAATGTAAGATAGTATGTTGTTGGTTAGAAAAAGGATGAATTAACTTGAGAATTAAGAAACTGACCAATTAAGATAAAAATGAGTCACTTTTTTCTTTTAATTTTTGTCAGTTTTTTTTTTTACATATTTGCAAGACATGCTTATTTTCAAATGATTTAAGGCTCATTCCCAATGAAATTATTGTTCTATGTAGATCCATCCAGCTCTATGGGGACTTTTACTGAATGCAATCAGATCGGTAGATTAACATGCCTCTTCCTTGAGTAGAATACAAGTACGTTGGAAACAAGAGGAGGCGTGTTAATCTGTTAACCTGATTGCATTCAGCGAGAGTCCCTGTGGAGTTGGACTGATATTTGTAAATTGATAGTTGCATTGGGAATGAGCCCTAAGATAAAGGCTTTATTTACAGGAGAAGAAACAGGCTAAAAAGGAAGCGGCAGAAAAGGAGCGTAAAAGACGTCTTCAACAAGCAGCAGATGAGCAGAGGAAAAGAGAAGAAGAGCAGAGAGTATGGCAAGAAGAACAAAAAGATAAAGAAGAAGAAGAAGAAGGAGGAGAAAGTTATGGTGCTTCTACTAGTAATGTTTCTCATTTTAATGGTCATTCGGGTCCAGTCCATGAAAAACCCATCACACCAAAAGATGTCTTCCCAAAGAAGCCAAGCAGAGTCAAGCCTCATCCACCAAGCCGTCCCCCAGCTCAGCGAACTAGACACCAGCCTACACCAGAACCAGAACCTGAGCCTGAGATGGATCGCCAGAGGTCGCCACCAGCTGCTTTTTATGAGGACGCAGCCGCTAGTGCTGTTACAGCTGATGATGTTGATATAGAATTTGCT